CACAGTTGCTATTTATTATTTATCATGCACCCATGGCGCTTATTTCTTCGCATCCTGTAATTATTGCAAATCTGCATCAGCTTCTGCAAGATTAATATCGATTTTCATCAAGATAAGAACACAGTTGCTATTTATTATTTATCAAGCAGCTATTTATTCCCTTATTATACATTTTCAAACAGTTTGCTCACTTTATACCTACTTATTTCCTATTACGTGCTTACATACGTATATTCAGGTACACACTGTAGATCGTTAGTTTTAGCACCAAAGATACCACACGCTACCAAAAGAGATTTTATCGCACCGATATAAAACCATATATTCATCGCTGTATACATATTTCATCCGCTGCACACGACCAAAGGACCATACCAAAAGCAATCGAGCACCCAGCGAGGATTGCACAAGAAATCGAGCAACGTAAGAAACGTTATCGAACGCATTATAGTCGAATCGCTTCGCAACAAACACCATTTTCCTTCTCCCATACAGCAAGCTGAAACGCCTGTTACGAGCACGGTGAAACGTCCAAAAAAGGCTAGGCCACCCATAGGTTCGTTTGCTCCGACACGTTGGAAAGCCAGCTCGGCCATTTTTTCCGTCTTTTCCTCGGTTTATTTACCAGCGATTCGGTGGCGTCAAGGTAGACGAGATAAAAGCAGCAGCCATTAATCGCGTGTGACAGCTGTGGGGCATTGTTATCGCCGGTTTTCACGGACGCCACGCTCGAGCGACCGTTCGACCCACTCGTTCGTTCGCGCCACCCGGTGTACACGTCATAATATACACTATAGCGACGCCACTATAGAGGCTGTTCCGTGCCGTAGTAAGGTAGTGACCGATGCTGTGGGATTCAGGTGTGCCTCACGGCACAGACGCTCTCAGTTTAGCGGCGGTAGCCCACGCGAATCGCCAGTGCTCCCTTTGACAGTGTGTCGTTTACCTCGCGGGCCTTCGAGACGATGACGAAAGGCCTCGTGTCCGCAGCGGTCCCCGTCGCGGTACACTGGCCGCGGTCCTCGCGAACTTTCCAAGCGGTTCTGTGACAAAAGTTCGTGAACTTGGTGCGCCGCAGGTGTGCCACAAGGGATCTGCCAACGTTCGTCGAAAGGGAAACGAACGAAGCCTCCTCGTCGAGGGAATTAACGCCTGCTGAATTGTAAACAGTGACACTCGCCGCTCCATCCGCTGCTGCGACCACCACGTACGTGTACCTTGGTCGATAAGTAACGTTTCTTCTGGCCACAGGCTTTCGGGACACCGTGTGTAGGCCTGACGCGCAGCTGAATCCGATACCCTCTACACTGCCGCAGACTTTTACAGTGTCGCGTTTCTCTAAAGCTTCTTTTGTTCGAGTCTAGCCGGTCGCCGTTCTGCCAGGATCCGAGTTGGTGTCTAGGAATTTCGGAAGGTTCTCAGAGAAACACAGGTGGTCTAGATAGAGACGCAGCCTAGCGTGGTAATTTGCCGAGAGTTCGAACGATCCGGGTGAACGAAGCTGGACAAATAAGCAACGCCTGGGATAGTCGTTGTTTTCAGGATTCTCGCCAACTTGGCGAAATTCGGAGCGGAAAAAGATGGAATGCGGAGATAGAGGGAATTAATTGTAACATATAATCTCGCGCGAGGTAACACGCGGCCCGTTCTTTGTCCCGGAAAAGTAGGCTATTTTCAGCGCGTTATTGCTACCGGCGAAGAAAGCATTAATCACAACCGAGACTCCTAGTCGCGCGTCCTGCTTACCATTCTCTGTCCACCGATCTTCCAAAACGATCGATCGTTGGCCAGCACAATCGCGTTTGCGATCGAGCAACGAGGTGCCACGCTAAATTTAGCGCGCGATTCGCGCAAGTGCCTTAAACGGTCATTTACATTTCCACCGATGAGAAGTGTCGTGGTCGCGAGTTTCTCAATCAAAGGCAGAGCTAGTCCAACGCGTTTTCCACTGGCGACTATTCCAGTTTTAGATCAGGCGATCCGTCTTTCATCCTCTCCCACGTTCATTCATTTGCACAGCTCGTCCCTTCGTCTTTCTTTGCTCCTCGTTCACGCTCGTTGCTTGCTTCCAACGCGACCATTCATCCTGGAATTCGAACGTGGCATTCGTAGGAAAGCATAGGCACGTGGACAAATGATGGCCCGTGCCATTGACCAGGTAATTCATCAGCGCGTAAAAAGCGGACACAGAGTGTGCCAGCTACGCCGGGGTTCTGCTCTTCCGGTTGTTTCGAGTCAACCACCACCTGGTGCCACTGTTCTTATCTGTCGCGAAAAGTCGTCGAGTAGAAGAAATAGGAGATAGATACGTGCTCGTAGGTTACGCCTATGCGAGCGTTACGTGGGTTACGAGATGTTCGTGACGGTCATGGAGGATCGTGGTCGTTGACTGGGAAATTGAAGGTTTGCTTGCAGGATTATGGAATATCGCGCTTTCGGATGGAGATACTACATCCCTCATATGACCGTTTCTTCACTTGCAGTGGAAGTGTTCGAACTGCGTTAGTAACGAGGTAGTGTTTATTTCTTAAGTTAGGGTTCGAATGAACGAATCATTGTGGTTGTTGATTAGGGAGTTGAAGATTTAATTCATTTTTGGAGAATTATGGAATTTGATTGAGTGAAATAAATATGGTGTATTTCTGGGATTTGATTATTTGTTGATTTATGGTATTGAATATTACAGAAAAGGGAGCTTATGTTTATTGCATATTTTATTCGGGTTCTTATTTTATTCCCGATTAATTGCCCAGTCCTTTTGTTCTTAATGAGCTTTTCAAGCTTTTTTGTCCAATTTTATTGCACTATTTAGATTTTATTATCTTAGGTATAATGTGGAATAGTTACTAATTACAATAATCTACTAATGGGGTGTTTAACAGATATTATACTTTGATAAATTTTTTTTTTTTTAATACGTAGTAGAATAATTACTACAATTACTGGAATATATTAGTAGGACTTTTAATACAGTATATACATTGCTCTAGCTAATAACGAATAAAAATATTAAGAATTATTTTTGTCTTGCAAAAGACGATATTCATTTCAGACTTTTAAATCCCATTTCAAAATTTCTTGAATTTATTTTTCCACGTACAAAATAATTCTTTGTCAAACACGTTATATTCGTGGAGTACGACAAAATAAAATGAAAAATGACAAAGTAAAAAATTCTCAAATCCACTATTCAAGTCATGTAGTTAATCAAACGAATCTTAATAATGTCTATATTTTGCTAATAAATTCAGCATATTAAACTCGATAGCAGATCACCTTGCAGAACCTCTTAATTCAGTCATATTCTTCCATGTTGCGGAATTTTTATAATCTGCTATAGTCGACATAAAACGTGATTATTATAATCACCAGGATAACTTTCACGAGTCCCATATCGTAATTAGTAAATTACAGGGAAATATCGAGAGGAAAAATTGGAATTATACTCTAGGACATTCATCCTTGCTGCAAAGTATAAAATACCGTATGCACAATAATCGGCGCAATTTTTGCGAACTGGTGGATTATACTTATTACAAGAAAAAACAAAGTGCAAATATTGTTCGAGCTTATAACGAAGGAAGGTTGAACGATTTCCTATAGGCCGATTAAGCCACCCTTTTAATCCCTCTTTATTTCGCGTAATCGCCACATATGCAATGGCCTCTGAGTCACTCTGTCGTGCCTCGAAGGTTTAATCGTTAACGAGCAAAATTCGCCCGCGGTTCATTAGCGGCCAAGAGCAAACACGTTCATTACTTTCGTGGAATATTTGCTTAGGATCGTAATTTGTCGATACACCACGCGATAAGACGACCAAATGCTCGACTCGGTTTCAACGGTTTAATTATTTCCATCGAGCAGTTCATACTGCAACTATGAGAAAATGAAAAATGGCAATCTGTCAAAAACTTCTGTTATTTGTACTAGTTTTATCCTTCACTGTCTGTTATAAATTCCACCAGCCTTTTGGTACAATAATGCACTGTGAACCGATGATGAGATACAGATAACTCCTGTTTTGTACCATGTTGTTAAGGCGGTTACAGCGGCAAATGGTAATGGGAAGTTATCCGGGAATAACATGGTCTTGGACTAAACTGTGAATTAGGATATATCTGAGATACCGATTCTTCCCAATTGTATACCAAAAAATTAATTTATACCAGTTATTATGTTAAAAATAAATGAATTCGATTAAATTGAATATAGTACAATTAATTTATCATGGCATTAATTTCATTCGATTTTATGATAAATTAAATATATACAATTAATTTCGTTAAATTTTAAAATAAATCGAGTATAATATGATTAATTTTGTACGTGATCAATGTTATGAAATAAATCAAGCCATCGTACGAAATTTTAATTCTTCCACTGCTCTTGAAAATAAATCTATTAAAATTGCCATTAACACGACAGAATTGTAATTATAAATTCATACCATCTTCATAACGTTCTAATTAAATTAATCTGTCGATATATCATCAACTCCAAAAACGACAAATTTATTCACGAGCTCTACAGCGACCAAAGGATGCGACAAACACGCTTAAAATTTTCGTCGAAAATCTACTTTCAATAGATCCCAATAAACATCTGCGACGAATCACAAATCATCGCGTGATTCACCCATCTCTCGAGAATAAATTAAAAGAAACAAACTTAAAAATCACGTCGAATTCAATCCCGTTTCAAAGCCCGTCCTCCAAGAAAATAATCATACGCGAGTACACATACGCTGCGTGCACCTAACGATCAGAATACTCTTGTCGATACTCGCCACGAAGACAAATTTTTCTTGAGTTCCGTTCCGATCATCGAGGTCAGTCGATCTATAGCGTTGCATGACGATAACATCGAAATCAATAGCGATAATTGTCGCTAATAACTGCGATAAGTCGCGTTATCGGGGCATTTTTCCAGCGATCTCGATTTTATCGAGCCACGAGCCAGGCCACTTTCTAATCAAACGCGAACCATCGTGTTTTCGAAAGGTTCCCGACGAAGAGGCCGATCGCACGCGAGGACCTGCTGCGCCGAGGAGCTGCAGAGCTTCCACACGCTGCACGTGATCGGTAGAGACGGTAGACAGCACAGCCCGACCGGAAATCAGGCCCAGGACCAGCCCCTGATCGACTACAGGCGACTGGTCTTCATCAGCTCGGACTCGTCCTCTGGCCGCGAGGAAGACGACGCTGACAGCAGTTGCTCGAGTTCCTCGTTCTTGAACGGGCTGCCACGAGCTGGCAGCCACACGCAATCCCTGGAGGACTGTGACTGGGACTATTTCGAGAGCGGATCCTTGCCTCTGCCAGCCGGAGTGCCGGTCACCATCGGCACCAGCAACGTGGCCACGGAAACCAGCACCGGCCAGGACTGGAGCTGCTGTCCAGGACGTGGTTCCACTGCTTGTCAGGTAGGTTATGAGTTGCAGAGAGATGAAACATGGACATTTTTCGGATCGGAAGCGGGTTTTCTTTTTTGGGGCCGCGTGGGTAGTCGAGGAGATTGCCTTGGGAAATGCGTAGAGATACGGTATGTAGGTAGTGAAGGGAGTTTTGTGGTAAAGATAAATTTTCAGTTGATATTTTGTTTAATTTATTGGGAGTGGTTAGGAAAGAGAAGGGCAGCTCCGAGTTTTAATAGTTTCCTGAGTTAATTCACTGGTAGCATACTAGTTATTGCCATATTTCAATCTGTACAGATAGTACATAAATATTCCGTATTTAATTCCATCTAGTATAGTGTACTAATAAAAATTCTATCCAATTCTGTATACTAACGATACTGATAAAAATAATATTTTAATTTTTCTGATGTATCGCAGGTATTAATTTCGTGTATATTTTCATACGAACGTCTGATATATAAATGTTTAATATCGGTATATTAATATATAAATATATATTTAAGTCTTGCATACTCCTGTCTATCGATAACTCTTATCGATACCGGACGATAATCTTCGAGAATAATCAGTGTCTATTTACACGCACTTTTTTTTCTAACTACTAACGTCTTCTCTGTAAATTCAATATTTTTGTTGGCGAATATTCGCTATCTGTCGCAGACAGTTATAATCCAATTCTTATGAAAATTATTATCTATTATTAGCAGAAATAGAATTTCAAATAAAATACCATTTTGAAACAACAAATATCATTTCCAGTTTTAAAACGATCAGATAATACATATTACGTTAAATGACATTCAAGCATAATGATATTGGCTATTACGAATTACGAATTGTAGATAGTAACGAATTTATTTATTTATAATAAAGAAACGAATACGAAATTGATCAAGAAATGTTCCTACACTTTTGGAGAACAACTCTACGGAGTTAAAAATCGCGAGGAATATGGCAAAAAATCTTGCGCGATAAATCATACGATATTTTTCAATATAGAAATAAATTTGGAACGAGCAATATTTATTAGCAGACAGCACGAGCAAGCATAAAGTCTGACACCCCATTATTCTTCTGCACAGGCCTGCGGAGGTTCCCGAGGCGCGAACGTGCTTCCAGTACCAGTACCGATCCCAGTACCGGTACCATATCCAGTACCCGTCCCAGCATCTCTCTGGACCAGCGACTTTGCAGCCGCCGCGTCCTCCATGATAAGCCGCAGCAGCGATGCTCATGCGGAACCAGGAACACTGAGGTTGAGAGGCGACCCAGCTGCGCCCTGGTTCGCTTGGCATCCACGATTCAATCAGCCTCTACACGGTGCCAGGCTCGATCCAAGGCTGACCGGTGTCTTCGACCCAACGACCTGCACCTTCAGACCCGATCAAGTGTTAGCCCCGCCATTGTACGGATCGACCATCGAACCGTCCTCCATTCCATCCACAGAAGCGCTTCGTCAGCGAGTGGACAATCTGCGGATCAATCAGGACGAAAACGACGATGCCGGAGTGAGCGTCGCGGCGAAATCCGTGGAGACCTTCCAGCAAGAGGCTGCGTTGGACATCTCGAGCGAGTCGAAAGCCGCAGAACAATCACCCACGAATGTCCGGGCGAAATTGGACAAGTCGAAGGCCGAGCAGGGCCAAGAGAGCGATTACGAGACGAACGAGACAAAGGAGAGCGAGGAAACGGGCTGCCAAGATTCCGTGAGCGTGTCCTTTGAAAACAGGCGGGGACAAAGGATGTACCAGCACGACGACTCTGGCAGCTCATCCGGCCGATCCTCCGCGGACAGCAGCGACTTAGAGGAAGACTCGTCTTCCCATAGATTCTCGAGAGTCTTCGTCGTAAACGATGATTCCCTCACTAGCGACAACGACATCGAAGACAATGGTGACGAGGACGAAGATTCGGACTCCGCTGCTGAGAACGGTATCACTTTGAAGAGGGTAACTGCATTGCCTGACGAGGAGCCTGTGGTGTTGCAGTATGTACGATTTTTCAACGAGGACTCGAATTTCGAGGACGTGAACGGGGATCGAATGGGAAGTAACAACAGGGAAGATTCGGAGAGGGAGAAGAGGAGATCTAGCTGTAAGGATGACAGCTCGGAAGGCAATGACAAGTCTGAGAAGGAAGGGAGTATCAACGAGAAACGAAGGACTCGTGGGAGGAGGCATAATATGGAGATGAACAACGACAAGAGGATTTCTTTGCCGTTGCAGCAACGCGAGATGCCTGAGGAGATGTACATTGCCAGTGACAACGATTGCTCCGAGAATCAGATAGAGTTGAAGTCCATAAAGACCTTGGATCCTGACAGCATCGAACCTGTCGCTTTTAACGATACCACCGAAGGCATCGCTGTAAAGGCTGAAACGATGATCGAGGAGAAATTGTCGAACAAAATAGAAGACGATAGCCCGAGAGTCGAAGAATCCCTGTTATCGAATCAAATGACGTTTAACAACGAAGCCACCGAGGATTGCCAAACGCAGCTGTCATCTACGGAGACCTGGGACCTGAATATAATCCCAGACTCTCTGGAAATTTCTGACCAGACAGAGATGCTAAACGGCAATGGTTCGTCCATGGAGAATATCACGGACTCGAAATTTCACGCCTCGACACCGTTGATAATTCACGGAACCGAGAACGGTACTGATTGCGAGAGAATAGGTAGCACCGATTATTGTGAAACCGGGATCGATAACTCGCTCGCTTTATCGCAGATAATGAGCAACGAAAGCGTAGATCGGGACAACGATAATCGCTCGCATGACGCACCGACCTATCTGAATTCGAATTCGAACGTAACTACGAACGGATCTTCAGGGTCCGAAAGTTTCACGAGCAACGAGACGAACACGACAGGCAGCGAGGTGAGCAGCGACGAGCTGCACGAGTACGAAGTGGCGTCAGCGAACGTCTCTTCGTGCTACGAGAACAACGAGTTCTCGTTCTCAGCGACAAACAGCGAGTTGTTGTCGAGGTTGAACAAAAGGAACGAGGAAAGAACGTCGGGGCAGGAGAATCGACGCAACGACGCCGTGAAAAGCGTCAAGGACATCGGTTATTGTGAGGAATTTAGCGTCACCGCGTCGAATAGAACGAAATGGAACGCACAATACGAGAAGGCAGCTGTTGAGCAAGAATCGGATAATACGAACGTTGACTGTGTGGCAAGCGTGCGTACAGAGAGTGATTCAGTACCGATCGCAACGGAGGATGATCAATCCGTTACGTGCCAGGCTGGAAAATCGGTGACACCGGAGGCCAAAGATGGCGTGGAAGACAACGACCCGACGACGGGGAATCACGGCGGTGGAATCGACTTGAAATCAGCGGGCTCCGACGTGGGCGACATGATAACCAAGATTCAAGAGATGTTCAAGAGCGCGGAGAGCGCAGGTAAAGCAGAGAGTGCGCATGACGGTGGCTCGTGCACGGTGAGAGGCGATAGTCCTGCTTTTGGTCAGGTGGTAGGAGAGGTTCGTAGTGGAGGTAGCGAAGGTGGTAGTGGTACCGATGGTGGTGGCGTCGCTGGAAGCTGCTTTGAGGAGGGGATAGAAGGGGGATCGACACGGTTTCGCTCAGTCGAGCGACGCCCGTCTAGTCGAAAGGAGAATGGATTCCCTCCTGCTGCGTCGACGAAGGATTCCATCAGAGACGTCCAGCACTTCTTTCCAACGGTCCACAACAACGGTCTCGGTAGCAATAATAATAGCAACAAGTACAGAAGCCTCGTGATGATCACCCAGGAAGCCTCGTACCAGCCAGTGAGCGTAATCACCTCGGACACGACGACCTTGTTGCAGCCGGATGAAGTGCATACGGCTAGCCAGGGTCTGGCTGGTTACTTCCAGCTGGCGCTGGAAGCCGTGGCCGAGCAGCCTCACCGTAAGAATGGTCAGGGTCCGAGGAAGCCTTTGATGGTGAAGCGTTTAGGCAGTGTGACCGCGAATCATTCGGAGACAGAGGTTGACAGCGGTCTGAGTGTCGGTAGTGCTAGTGAAAGCGACGACGTGTCGGTGAAAAATGCAACGAAAATAAGTGGTCGGCAGGAAAACAGCGAGGACAATGCCACAAAGGAGCGTTTGGCTAACGAGCATCGCGAGTGCTCGCGAACACGTGTCTCCTCGCAGTCCAGCGATGAAAATTCGATCAGCGGTGGGGTCGTGATACTGGAGGAAGGTTTAGCCGATGACGATTCATGGGTGGAGGAGGTTTCCCACGACGAGGACGAACCTGGCGCTACGACAGCCACGGAAGAGAGCTCCGAGGATGAAGCGAACAACCTTGGAGATCGCGAGGAAGAACTACGTGGTTATCACAGACAGGCTATTGACTTCACCTTGCACACCATCGTCGAAGAATCCTGCGAGGAGAGCGAGGCGGAACCCAGTTTGGCTACAGGTAGTCCATCCAAGAAACAGAGACCTCCATCCGCCTCTGAATTGGAGAAATACTTCTTCTTTGGCCTCGGGGGAGATGGCAATAATTCGAGCATGGGTTCGCGCGAGGTGGATAGCCTTTCGGAAACTTCGTCCATCTATTCAGAGGGCTTGGAGTCACTAGGGCAGGATGAGACTCCAGGAAATGGACAGAGCCAGGAGAGATCGAACTCTGGAGAGGGATTCCTCAATTCCTCGAGATTGGAGAAATACTTCTTATCGGAATTTCTCGGGTTCGATCAGGACAGACGAGATTCGGATGGTTCTGTTGGCAGCGATTCCGAAGGGAGGCCGAGTCCTGAAGCACAGAGAAAGAAGAAGCTGGTCCGTGCTAGAGGTACCGGTAGATCGCACAGTTCGTCCTTGGACAATTTATTGGCTCTCACGCAAAGTTCGCAGAACTTGAGCTCCCAAAATTCGCTTCAGGATCTGAGTCTGAATCAGGACTCGCAAGAAACCCAATCCGAAGGCTCTTCCACCGAGACAGACGGTGCGGATGACGGTCAGACAGCCGCGTTTGGAACAGACGGACAGTTCGACACCGTGAAACGAAAGAAGAAGAAGCCCAGAAATCTAGGTACCCAGAGTCCACGTGTACCCGATGACAGGAATAAGACCCCAGAGCCAAGCAGAGAAATGGTCTTGGTGGGAGAAGTGGTGATGGAAAACGAAGCAGAAGTCATCAACTCGGAAGATTCCGATAGAGCAAAGACCCCTCAACCAGAATGCATCCTGTCTTCTTCTTCCTCTCCGTCGACTACCATCAACGCCTCGCTAACGTCCACGTCACTGCTCGATTCCTCAAGGAATATGCAGATGAGCTCGGGGGAATCTTTGAGCTACAATCAAAGATCGAAACAACAGTCTCGTGACTCGGGATTCGTAGGTAGCTGCGATGATCTTCTGCAGCACCAGAAGATGCCCGATGATGCTCAATCCAATACAGAGATCAGCCAAGAGACTGCCAAAGATCGTTCCAGCTGCGAGAACGGTGAAAATGTTCAAGATGCGAATCAAAGCTGCATGGAAGGTATTCCTGGAGTGGAAAAGGGAAACGTAGCTAAGGTGGATCACCATTTAAGCCACACTACACTGCCCCACTTGCCAAACGCTTCCCTCTCGAGGAAGGACAGTTTCAATAACTGGTCCAGCGACGAGGAAACGAACCTAATGATGTCCAAGATGAGACAATTCTTCAAAACCATGGTCGCCAATTCTAACGGACAGAACCAGAACGCTACCAGCGCAAATTCCAGTGGCGCCTCACCTGCGCCCAGTCCTAGACTACCTGGTTACTCCTCGAAGGCCAGGCTATGTTCGCAAAATCGTACAAAACCACCACAGCTAGTATACTTCGAAAACGAACTAACCAGGCTGATGAAAACCGTGCCGGGAATTCGGGACGAACAAGTACGAGAGATCGTGGAGTATCTGAGTTCCGAGGACACGTGGTCCGATTCGTACGATAGCTCGGATTACACGAGTTCCGATTTAGAGGGAGCAGCTGGTGGCCGTCGATCGGCGTTGCAGGAACAAATCTCGCAGAGCTGCCAGCAGATTATCAGCAAATTCGACACCACGTCTGGTGACAATCTGCTGGACAAAGAGAGAGAAGATAAAACTGGGCCGACTGGAATTCAGCCTCCCTGTTTAGGCAGGGACACTGCGTTCGTGTATCAAAAACTGGTGCAGAGCTTCACGAAAATGGCCGGCGATGGTGTAAGCTCTGACGCCAATTCGACGCCTCATAGCAGCCCACCGTTGATCGCTAAAGTGATGCACCACATCGGTAGCCGACTGGTTGCCCTGATGCACGAAGTCTCCGAAGGTGGACCAACCGTGCAACATCATTCCACGAGCTGGAGACGTTACTCGCAACATCATCGAACACCATCATCAGCTTCCACTACCGAGGACGATGATTCTACCTCGGACTCGACCAATGCACCTTCGTCGACGCATTTGCAATTACCCAGATCAAAGTCCCACGATCCTCTGCTACTGATCAACAGTCACCCGACAGCCTCCACCGGACAAGAGGGCGAGGAACGCGAGGCTAGTGATTACGAAAGGTTCTCATGGCGAGGAAGCTTTGAGTCTGCTCTCATGGCAGCGGATTCTAGGACGAAACTGAGCCTCCTGGCATGTTCCGGAGATAGTGTCGGTGCTAGTGCTAGTGCTAACGCCTTAGCCATGGCTGCTAAGCGTCGCAGTGCTGGAGATCTGTTGTTCAATCCGAAAAGCTTCTCGAGAGAACAGTTGGACAGGGTTAGAAGCTGCGGGTCCATTGGTGGTGGAAGTGGAGGTGCTGCCAGTGGAGGATCGGTGGAGGAGAGGATCTGGAGCAACAGGAGAAGGTCTTCCGTTCCTGACGCCAACACGAGGGGAGAATCTGGTAAGTTTATCATCATTTTATACCATATTCATCCGAGCACTCCAATCTTCGTGCTACGTCCTGCACCATTAGGAAATTGAACCATTTTTCATCAGCTATATTAAACTCTAATCAGCTCAGAGAAAAACACTAATTATATTAGCTTTCCGATACGTTGCTCTTCTGTTACATAAAAGAGGAGAGTCGAGAAGCAAGTTATGTTAAATTCCTTAACCAAAGTTCCGTCTCTGGTAACTATCCTGCTTCGCATGAGTAGTGAAACGAAAGCAATTTCCGCGAGTTACGTCTCTCCTATGAAAGGAACGAATCGAGAGATCTTTGTTTCCTTCACAAAGGCTCTATCTCTAATAACTATCCTGCTTCGACTGTTATCGAACCAGAGCTATTTCCGCGATTTACGTCTTTCATACTATCTCGCTATCTGCGATCGAGATTCCGGTAGCTTACAAAGCAATACATCAACAGACACGTCCACAGGTGACGAGGACACCGAAGACGAACTCGAATACACTGGCGAATCTCGGGCAACGACTCTTCCTCGTGGAATGCAATCCGCCATTACGGCGGCTACCAATTCTCTGCCCCGTTTGCCAGCTTCCACAGCACCGGCTGGCCTGACGACCACGTCCACTACCCCTTCGTCGACGATGCACAAGGCGCACAGCGTCTATCATTTCCTGCCGCAGCATTCTGGCGTCAAATCTGCCAGATACCGACCACCAGGCTTCGCGAGGAACAGCAACGTTACTGGCGCGATCGGTGGACCAAAGCGTGCGGTCAGCGCTCCAGGACTCCAGGTTTCGGGCTCTCAGTCTAACGCTGGGAAACGAGACAATTCGAGATCGAGGAGGCAGCAGGCTATGTCTCTCACGCCTGGTAAGTCCCTGTTTTACGTTTTCGTAACACACCCCGACGAAAAAGCATGTACTATTGCGAAGAACCCGCAAATCGTTAGGCAAATCCCGATTAACTGTTACGCGATCGCGTGAGTATCTAGGAAGCCTCAGAAGCGGGAAAAACACTGTGGAAATCGGTATGCCCCATAGAGCCAATGTCGAACCAAGGTTTAGTTATATTCTAGTGGAAATGCAGTTGTATCTGACCGCGACGGTTTAATTAAAACTAGCCTGCCCCGTTAAAGTGAAAATTCATTTACACGCTATCCGCAGACGAAAGATGGACCGATAAGCGTGCTATAACCTGAGGTACGATGATTTTTATCGAAGTTACTCGCGATGCCAGGTTAATTCTCTTTTGTTTCTATGATTCCGTTTGAGCAGGAGCGAAGTATTACTCGGCTTAATGACGCTTTGGCTACGGCTTGAAAATTAATCTTCGTTCAAGGATATCAAGGATAGCTTCTCCTAATTTGAATATTTTGTTGATTCGAAAGGAGTTCCTGTGGGATACGTGACCTGCTTTTGAATGGTATTTCGCTAGAGAAAATTTTGGGTAGCTGTCTATGTGATCTTACACCTTTATATAGAAAATAACAAAAATTCTGGAGGCTGAATATAAGATGTTATGGGACTATACGTAGTTTAATAGATAAATCTTAATTTATCATAGAAATTTAGTAAATTAATCCTTTATACTTAACCAAAGTCACGAGGGTGACAATCACGCTATAATTATAATCTTGTTTTATCTTCATTGATAAAAAATATCTTTTTTCTTTTCAAAATTAGACTTTTGCTTCCAGAAAACTTCTCATTGTAAGAGTTCTTTCTTAAAAATTCTCAGAGTGCAAAGGGTTACGTTTTAGCCCAACAGAGAAGCTAGTAGGGTGGTTTGTATGAAATGTAGAGAATTTTTAGACAGATTGTAAAATAATCTTATACCTTTAATTCGTTTGGCCAGAGTCAGATTTTGTTATTTATTATACATATCTGTTGATATTATTTGAATTACTCAACCGCTCGTGATTTTGCTGATTAATGAACGCTCTCTTATTTGTTTGATCAACGCGATTAATTGCGAAATCTAAACCGGAGTGAAATTACGAAAATTCTCGGTTCCGAGAAATCTTCCGCAACCATTATCTGTGTTCACAAAATCGTTATCTTTTCGCTTCGCAATTTTCTTTGCATTGAATTGAAAATCAAAGCAATTTTCATCGCCGACTGACCGAAAAATAGATAAAACCGACGGCTATTTGTCAATAACTATTATAAATTTTCATTAATATCGTTGGAAACATTTATCCTGTTACGAAATTAAAGATTGAAGCAGCGCTTGGATCACCATCGATTAACCTAAACGTAATAAAATCGAGAATCATACGTTAATACCTGTTACAAAATAATAAAACCGTTTAACGATGCTATTATTAATATCGTGAGAAAAGAAAATTTATTAAATTGCAATCGATGCAATCTTAAATGATTCAGGAATAAATAAAGTAACTATACACACTCGCATAACTGTTACGAAAGAAGAATAATATCCCCTAATGATGCCATTATCGACATCATTATCAGAATCAAAAATCGAAACAATTTCAACCTCCATCCGCTTCAGAAATAAATAAAATGGACAACCAAGTATCAACAACGATTATCAAAAATAATACCTTTTAATAAAGTTCTTATCGAGATCATTAAAAACAACTTAGCTCTAGTCGATCCTAAACCAATGGTAATTATTTCCAAATCAGAGACTATTAAGACGACGTAAATGACTGTTACGAAAGCGTAACGTCGTTTAACGATACCATAATCGATAATATGGGAAAAATTCGTGTCATCGAGAACGCCCTCATGGAACAGAGTCTGGGAAAGTTATTTTCGCGAAACATTGTCAGCTCGGTTTCAAAGGCTGCAGTAGCAACGTAGCAACTAGAACGCGATTTGTTAATGAACAGCTTAAAGTATTTACTGGAGTGTAACAGGTGTAACCGTTTTATTACCAGATTTCCCTTCTTTTCCCGCTGCCTCTTCGACCTCCCCCACCTCCTGCTCGTTCTAGCCATGCACAACAATCGATAAACCGGTATAACGTAGTGTCCCGCGTATGCGTACTGTCGGATTTCTCTGGCTGTCGCCTTTTTCTTTCCAACCTGAGTTGCAACGCACGAGCTGCAGCGGGTTTTAGCTGCACGCTAAGCCATGAGTATCCAACCAGCGGCCCATATGCGGCCCAATTTTACGTGTAAAATGTCAAATAGAGTGTATACAACGATATCAAACTAATTCAGGTTGTAGTCTTTGTAATTAAAATTATTATAAATTAATAATATTTAAATTACTTATATTTTTTGGTCATCAGCTATCCTTTAGTGTTAGGTATATTTTGTGTAGTTCAAAGCTTGGCTTCTTGCAATATATGTGATGCAAATTAAAGGGTTGGACACTCAATTTTTCGTCTTCATTATTACAAAGACCTCACGATGTTATGTTTATACTCTCAAAAAACACGTATGAATCCCTATACATCATAGTTGCTCCTCAAAATATATCCTTTGCTGTTCTTTCCAACCACGTTCTTCAAAACCCAATATTTCAAAGCATTATATCATCACTTGCTTATAAACAAAATTTGCCTCGTCTTCATTATCCCCAAAACCTTACAATATTATAATAATATTCTCAATAATCAGTTATCAATCCCCATACATAATATACCTTCCTATACCTTCCTAAGGTATATCCGTTCTTCAAAATCCAATATTTTAAAGCATTGTATCATCATTTGCTTAGCAATAAAACTTAATTCATCTTCATTATCCCCAAAATCTCACAATATTATAATAATACTCTCAATATTCACTTATCAGTCCCCATACGTAATAGTAGCCTTCTTAAGGTATATCCTACGCTGTTCTCTCCAGTTACGTTCTTCAAATCCAAGTATCTCAAAACTTGGTTTCATCTTTTGCTTACAAACAAAGAGTTCTTCGTCTTGAAAGTTCGGAAAAACGTCGCGATACAGCAATGGCCGCAATAATCACGCCCATGCCCGTCAAACTACCCCGACTCGAGGATAGACGTTTGCACGCACGTTTGCACTACGATAACGAAGAACCGTGTCACGATCATGAGAGTTGGAACTTCGATAGAAAGGACGCAGAACCGCCCTTGCAAACTGCATTTCCGTCGCTCTCAATTCAGCCCGGATCACGCAAATCGGCGATTCGTGGTCCCGTTTCCGAGCCAAACTCGCGAATTTTGTTCCAGATTCGTGTCACGTACTGGATCGTTATAACGCGATCCTTTGACGGTCACGTTCGTGTCATATGTACATAACTGCTTTTGAAACGATTCTGTTTATCCTTAGATGTCTAAATATACGCGTCTCTTCGTTATTTTTATTTTCCTTTCCTTTTTTTTTTTAATTTTTCTTTCTCTTTTTTTCTCATTCCGAGTTTCAATGTTAGCCAGAGAGCAGGGAACGTTCTTGACTCCGTAGACCGATGAAATTATTTTCACTGCCACTCCCCGTTGCACTCGTGGCTCGCGCGGATCAATAACCGTGGAGACCAGTGTAATTCGTAACTCGTTAATTAATTGCGAAGATTACAGGAGAGCGTGATTCGAAAGACGAATTATTCGGGATGAATATGCGTTAATTCTCGCGTGTTTCCAACGAATTCCGTTCCATTCGTTTCGAGCACTTTGTTCTAATCTGTTCTGCTTTGCTCTTCCCATTTTCCATCTGCCTTTCACTCCGATTTGAATTTTTAATAATCGTGTGTATCTAAATTAATATACAAATTGTCCTATTTATTTTGGCACGACAGAAAATTTCTTAGACAGCTGAATTATTGGGAAAATGTTGTCACGTGCCTTTCGGTATTTTCAGTTACAAAATATGAAAGTATTAAGTATTATTAGATGAACTAAAGGATTGAAAGTTAAGTGCTAGTTTATTTCTTTGAAATTGCTTATTTATGTGATTTTTCGCCGTATCGGCTTAAATGAGACACCCTATATATGTTTGAAGGTTGATGGTGGTTTAATGATCGGCTAAATTTTAATGAAAATTCGTGTTTTATCGAATTCCGAGCGTGTTTAATAGGATTGTTTGGAATATTGTTCATGATATTATGTTTCCCGTAATTATTAGGTATCCAGGAATCAAGAATAAATCTGCCAGGTTAATTAACGTGGAAATTATTTTAAATAAGAGAAGTTTGGCACCAAAGAAGTTTGATCGTTGTAACCTGCGAAAAATCAAATATCGATAATCTTTATTTCTTTTACAATAATATCCTAGTGGTATTATTCTAGAATCCTAGTATCCTAATATCCTAGAAGTGGAAATATAGGTATATGAAAGATATTTATCTACAGTGCAATAATTGAAACCGTTAAAAGGAGTAAATAGCCTATAAAAATTGTAAAATATTACTTTAATCGTGTAATAATTATTTACTATTTAAACTTAATTAATACCTAAATCTCAGGTACAAGAAAACACGATACCAAAGAGATGAAAATAAAAGTTGCTTAATAAACGATCATCTGACTCAAGAATTAAGAGAAAATAAAAATAAAAAGCACGTAAACAAAAATATATTTACGAAAGTCTTGACCTAGCTAATATAAAAATAAGCAAACTTAAATATAAAAATAAAACGCGATATCGTGTTACCTAATTAAGGTAAAGATCGTCCATTAAATAATTTGGAACTCGAAAACACCATTATGCATTGAGAATATAAATAGTTAATCAGAGAACTTATTTTATTTGACAGTAATATAATAAATTGAATGTAGCATCATCGTTAATTCGTTTCAAATTATTATTTACCAAGAAGCTAAAAATATCCTTAAAAAAACAAAGAATTGATAATCAACAGTAGAACTGATTATTTACAACACCAGAAACTAAAAGAGACAAATTTATATAATATTTACATTTCTTCAATTCAATGA